CTTGCTCAAGGAATTGGATGGATGGTACCAAGCCCTAAAATAAGGAGCCCAGGAAAACGGGTGGGAGTTGAGGTGAGGGAAGAAGTTGAGCTCCATTTGGGGCCTGGAATTTGATGCAACTTTCCAAGTGAAAATAACCAAGAAACTTGGGGTCAGGACAGCTCCATATCTCAATTTATTTTTTATTAGTTCATTTTAGTTACACAATATTAAGAGTTCATTTTGACATAATTATACAAGCATGGAATATAATTTGCTCTAATTCAGTCCTCAGTACTTAGCCTTTCCCTCTTCTCCTCCCTCCCCCATCCCCTTTCCTCTACTCTACTAATAACTGTGCCTCAATTTTTTGAGTTGTAAGATAGAATTATAACAGCACCAAAACAGAACCTGCAAACTGGATGCCTGTGCCCAATAAATGTCAGCTATTATTATTTTATGGGATTGAACTCGGAGCACTGCACCCTAAGCCTTTGGCTCTTTCTCTGCCTGCTCGTGAGTTGTTGACAAGGGAACAGTCCTCAACAGTGTTAAGAGTTGTTAAGTTTCTCAGATCCTTGCATGTCCAGCCAGCTGCCTGGTTAGCTACCACATGTCTTTGTTCTTTCTTCTCTCTTTTCCTCTGAACCCCTTTTGTTTCCACTGGGTCCTGCTGCCCCTGATGGCTGCGTGCCCCTTTGCTGGCCATCACTACTCATTTTTCTGGGCTCTGCCATTGCTGCCATGTCAGCTCAGCAGCAGCACCATTTCTGCCAAGTTCCATCATACTAGCTCCCATTGCTGCTCTTGGGCATAATTACACCCTCCTCCCGTGCACTGCAGCCACTCTGCAGTCTGATCAGGCATCTCATGGCTGCCATGCCCACAGAGGTAATGTAGGCTTCCAGGAGCCAGCCATATGGGTCTGTGTTAGAGTTCTCCAGAAAGGCAGGACCAATTGTGTGTGTTTGTGTGTTAAACTTTTGTAAAACATTTTTTATATATATAAAAAATACACACATACTAAGGAATTGTCTCGTGATTATGGAGGCTAAGCCCCATGATCTGCCATCTGCAATTGGGAGACCCAAGAAGCCAGTGGTGTAGTTCAAAGGCCTGAGAACCAGAGAGCTAATGGTATAGATTTTATCTAAGTCTGAATGCCTGAGAACCAAGAGGGCTGTGGGCAGCTGAATATCAATGTCCCAGTTCAAGGAGTCAAGCAGAGAGAAAATTCAAGCTTTCTCAGGCATGTTTAGGCCTTCACCAAAAAGATTAATGCCCACCCACATTAGGAAGGGTCATCTGTTTTTACCTAGTCCACCAATTCAAATGCTAATCTCTTCCATAAACACCCTCACAGGCACACCTGAAATAACATTTATTCAGATATCTGGACAGCCCATTACCTGGACAAGCTAGCACAAGACTATCACCAGTAGTTTGTTAGCACAAAATACTACTACAGATGGTTTGTGGACAAACGAAGAATGCCTTTCTTCCATCTGCACGTTACTTTCTGCCAGGAAAGTACAAAAGCAGTAATATGAGGGCCCCATGCCAGAGTTCTCAGAACAGTTGTTCACTTTTAATTATAGGTTCATCTTTACAGGAATAGCTATAAGGAGTTCATGGCCCTTGTTCAGGATAAACCTGAGTAAAAGAGAACATATTCAAAATGTCATGCCTATGAGATGGAACACTTTGTGAGACAAGCTCTGATATCTGCTTCTAAGGGCCTCCTTAGTGCTTCTTTGCAAACAGTCTAAGCAAGGCACCCCACAGTTGCTACAATTTGCCAAGTATACCTGCACTCCAAGCGTGGGCATAGCTCAGGTCAAACTGGTCAACCCACTATGTCAACAATAAGTTAGGAAATTAGTCTTTGGTTCCCAGCTCATCTTCCCTTCCATGTGGTACCAATATGGAAGTTTAACCAGATCCTGGAGACCAGCCTGTCTTGCTGAGAATAACAACCACCAACTTTATACCAGCTTACCACTCTCTACCTGCATGGAAGTTCTGTGACAGGATACAGAATAGAATACAATTATTACCCCCAACAAGAAGTGATAGTATGAGCTGAAATAGACTAGTCACAAAAGTATCAACCAGATACATGCTTTAGGGATCTCAAAACAATGTCAGTATAATAATAATGAATATTACTAGAAGATTGGAAGGGTCAACTTGAGATGCATTTCCTAAAAATGGTCATTTTGAGAGAGAGATAGTTAAGATGTGCTGGGCACCCATAGCATTCCAAATGGTCTTACAACCTATCTGATTACAGCTGTTCAGGATGGTTCATAAAAGGATCTTTAAGTCCTGTAATTCAATTTAAAAAATTTCCTGTAGTGTTTGAGAAATCTCTTTGCATAGCTGGTGTATAACTGTGGGTTTGTGTCTACAAAAATATTGACTAGTTCTATAGAAATGAAAAGACCCATGCTATTTGGCCTGTCATTTCAATATAGCTCACTAATTATGTATAAAGTATCTATAATATAAAACAAGAACAACTAACATTTCTCCAGTTGGCAGTCATTCTCATTAGGACTACATGTTTAATTTGCTCTTGGTTTTCATCATGGTTCTTGTCCCAGTTAGAACAGAGATCAAGAATCTATCTCAGTAGTTGCATCTTTAATTCACCTCTACATTCAGCACTTGGTGATCTTTTTTCTCTACAAGTTTTGCTGGCTTTTTATGAAGGTTAGCTGCATAGTTTCACCTGAGATGCTCTTGTGCCATCCACTAAGAGGGTGTGGCAACTGAGCCAGGACAATCTACTGGCCATGATTTCCTCAGAGAAGATCAAAAACGAAATGAGACCACAAACCAACCTTAATTACAGAAACAGAATTAAGCTTAAATGTGAAAAGAAAAATCATAACAGAAGGACCTAAGTGGATTTGTGATGTTTGAATGTGATATCTTTCTAAAATTCTGTTCCACTAATGGGATTATTGCTTCTCTAGTAAATTCTCTGGGTCAGATGCTATCACATTTTCCCAGATGCATTAAGTCACAACTAATCACTGTTTACAAAGGTGATCCATTAAATCAGAATGAGAAATGATTTTTTTAAACTGTAGCTAGCAGTCTTATTCTGGCAGCCAGCAAAGAAGGCAGTGACCCCTGTGGCTTGACTTGTAAAGCATCAAGGGTATATACCTACTAAAGGTAACACTCCAGGTGCCCCCTACTCTGCCAGGTAGTATCTTGAGTACTGCCGTTAAAAGCGAATTGCTGTTGGGCACTGTGGTGCATGCCTGTAATCCCAGCAGCTCTGGAGGCTGAGGCAGGAAGATCTCAAGTTCAAAGCCAACCTCAGCAAAGGCAAGGAGCTAAGTAACTCAGAACAGTGAGTTCTGACCCTGTCTCTAAATAAAATACAAAATAGGGCTGAGGATGTGGCACAGTGGTTGAGTGCCCTGAGTTCAATCCCCAGTACCCCCCACCCGCCCGTGCCAAAAAAAAAAAAAGTGAATTGCTTAAAAATAAGTCATTAGACCTAATCACATTATTCATTAATTTCCCCCCCCCAAGATTCATATCAACCACTTTATTACATGCAGAGCATGATTCTCAGGGATGGGTACATAAAAGTGAACAAAACTATCTGCATCTCATGGAGCTTTCATTCTAATGGAATGGGTGGAGAGCAAGCAATGAAATCAATGAAAATGAGAAGTCTTTATTTCACCATAGATTATTCTTGCTCATTTTTCATATTGAGGCATTTTAGCAGCATTTCAAAACAGATTAGTAAAAGATGAGTCAAAGAGAAAGCAGACCTTAAAAATACAAAGCAAACATTTTAGGCAAAAATCCAAATTAAATGATACCATACAACCTGAGGGATGTTCATCTCTTCACAAGGGCTGTGGCTTCTGAGAAATAATGAGTAGAGCTTACAAATAGGTTGTAGTTCTTCCCTCCCTCCACTGTCCCTCCTGGAATGCTTTAACTAGAAACGTGACTAAAGACTTAGCCATCCTCAATTCTTACCTTGACCTGAAGAAAACCACAGCCAGAGAGAATCTGGGACATGTTAAGTTTGTACCGAGGTACATTGGTGAGCTTGGCTAGAGCTCCCAGGAGGTGGACTCTACACTAGGGGGTAAAGTGACCCTGAGCATATTGATGACTCAGCTCACACGTGTTCTTCCCTCCAGATTAGAGTCTTGGAGGTATCCAACATGTCCTTTCCAGGTGGGAGTAGCTCCCGTGCAGGAGACTAAACAATCATCCAGTGTAGACTAAGGACCACGGTTGGTTCTTTAGATCATTTGCCTCAGTAGTGTATTTTTGTGTGGGACACAGTCACCACTGAAACAATGCAAAACTCAAGGAAACCAAAAAACAAACCTTTGCACAGAGTTCAGCAAGATAAAATATGGACCAAAACAATTATTTTGCTTAATGAAGTATTCAGGATTTGAGCCTCAATGGACTCAGGTTTCAATGGCAATGTTGTGTTTAAGGGCTAGAATTTGGAAATCCCACAACAGCTATATAATCAGCTCTGATTAATGTAATCAAGACAGGACTCTCAATGGAACCCTGCTACATTTATGATTTAAAGTTCCAGGGCCAGGATATAGCTGAGTGGTAGAGCACTTGCCTAGCATAAGCAAGAACCTAGGTTCAATCTCAGGACTGCAAAAATAATAATGGTAATAATAATAATAATGTAAAATTTTAAAACAGGGAGAGAGAGGCTTAGAAGTGCAGGTTTCTTCCTCATGAAATGAGCTGAGTGTATCAATCAGAAGGGAGTCGGTCGCATCTGACCCTAACTGTGGCTTTAGTAATCGGAGCCATCTGCCTGTACACTAAGGCGGTCCCCACTCTAATCCAGCTTACGTCTGGCAAACCACTCTTCCCCGCCTGATGCCCTTGAGCAGAGGAGGCTGTGCAAAATCCTGTGCTCCTAAACGTGTCGCTGTCGCTGAGGATATCTAGGTTTGGGTTTGGGTTCATTTCGTCGGTTTGTTTTTTTGAGCTTTGTCTGAGGTTTAGCTTTCTTTTTCTAGGACAGAGACAATGGCTTTCATGGTGAAAAGTATGATAAGTAGCCAGGTAAAGAATTTAGGATTTGGTGGTGGGTCTGAAGAACAGAAAGAAGAAGGAGGTGCATCGGACCCAGCAGCAGCTCACGGGATGACCAGAGAGGAGTATGAGGAATATCAGAAGCAAGTGATTGAGGAGAAGTGAGTACCCAGCTCCATTTTCTCTACAAAGCCAGCAGATACATCCTGGTCCCCCCATGCATTGCTCCATGCTTTTTAGGATGCTTCTCCTTTGACCATTGACCTCTAACCTGGGGAATGTTTGATCCACAAAATGGACCATTCCTTAGTCCTTAGCATCAGCAACTACTGTGTGCAGCCGCTACTGTGCAGTGAAAAATATGAAATGAACAATATGCCATTCCTAATGCATCTTAACACCGTATGGTCCAGGCATGTTTTATTGGCCTTAGTTTAATTCTTCAAATATACATTGATGAGTCTATCTTTGTGATCTTTCTGAAATTCATCCTCCTACCAAGTACAAAGTTTTCAAATAGTGAGAATTCAGACTTTATCCCTTAAAGAACATCCAGATCAGCTTTCTTGATCTTGCATTAAAAGGCCCAGAAAGCACAACATGATGATTACATCATAAGATGTGACTTATCAAAGACTATGAATATATTTGTGGATTATATTATTATATTATTAGGAAGATTCTGAATGTACAGAAAAGTAGAATAGTATGATGAATACTCACATAAGGCAATAGTTAACATTTTGCCATGTTTGCTTATAGATTAAATAAATATTCTAAAGTAAATTACAGATAGCATGATAACTTTGTCACCAAGTATTTTAGCCCTATACCTCTAACAATGAGAGCATTCTCCTGGCTATATAAATGCAATGAGAGTAAAATATAAAATATCAGTAACATTTTGGTTGGGTATTATGGATTGGGAATGTCACCTATAGTTTAAGGATGAAAACATCCTTAAATAAGTATAATCTATGTGTGATTTGTTTAAAATGGAATTAATTTAAGAGTCTTTTAATAATCAGCTAAAAATCAAAGTATCAATCTGGAGGTTAAATGTTCATCATATGTTACAGAAGAAAAGCATTTCTTTTTTTGCTACCATGGCTATTTTGCTAGCAATCTTTAAGGTCCTCTTCTAGGGATAAAGTCTGAATTCTCACAATTTGAAAACTTTTTACTTGGTAGGAGGAGGATGACCAATTACATAATAGTTGCCTAAGTCCTATTGCTAAGATGATTATAGGTGAAAAGGTTAACGACCTGGAGAAAACTAAGAAAGTACAAAGCCTACAGCTAATGGAAACCTCATCTATTGTTTATTCTGAAAGCTTATAAAGGTTCCCTAGAATGCATCATTGCTCTGCAATAAATTAAAATCAGTTAAAAAAAAAAAGAAAAAGAAAAAGTAGTTGCAACAGCAAAACTGGTGTTGGTGGCACCAGTTGGGCAAAAAAAGCAATGTTCTTTGAGTAGTGGCCAGCTTTGTGTATAAAATGTGTAAAAGAAAATCAAGTATAATGAAGAAATTGAATAATAAAATCATTCAGTCTCAGTTCAAATGGGCTAATGAAAATGGTCAGTAATTTAGACTGTCTATCTGATTACTCAAAGTATCATTTAATATGCCCCAGCAATACATCTGGCCACAGAGATGGCATCCATTTGATTAACGAATGCCCTAGTTTTCCTTAACTTGACATATGAATAGATCAAAGCTCAAAGTTGCCAAATGGTATGGGCAGCAGTCAGTAGACCTGCTTATTTGTCAACGGCTTAGATTTTTGTGTGTGCATGAGAATATTAAACATTTATGTAGTCACCCAATTCAAGGAATGGTGGTAAGACAGCAGGGCAGCTGCTTCCCTATGGCAAGAGGGAGGACCTCCCGCCCACCACTGGCCTGAGCGTTTAAGAGCTTCACCAACTAGAATATGATAGAAAGAAGTAGCCTTCCAAAATGCCTACTAGCCACAAGTTAAACGGGGAGAGACTTATAGACAGTGTGGTCTATCATAAGCCTAATGAAAGTTAGGAAATGAAGCCTCCTAACCTGTCCTCATTGTTTTAGAAAGGTGGGGTCGACTTCTATTAATTGTAAACAAAAAACTACTTAACAATACAGCACCTTCGGTTTTCTTTTCCTGTGTGTCTTCCCCAACAAATGGTAGCATTGGTCCCAAAAGCAGTCAATACTTAAAGAGAAGATTTAGAAAAGAAATCCTTGAAAAGGAAAACGAGAGTCTGTTTATCCCTCCACTTTTCTCAGGTAGGCAGGAGTGTTCCTTTACTTAGCAATGGTTCAATACTTGCTCTGGTACCATTTGCAACTTGACCCTGAACTTAGGTTTCTTTAGTTATCATTTGGAGCCTCCACTCCGGACTGGGCACTGTGAGAAGGATACCAAAATGGAAGATGTGGGTTTTCTTCTGCAGAAATTTATACTCTGTTTGGGAAGATGAGCTCCATGAGACTATAAACAGAATGCAGCTTTTCTCAGTGACTCAGAGACTGGAATCCCAGTCTTAGGGTATTCAGATAGACAGTAAACTTATATAGTTATTTGATTTTCAACAAAGATGCCAAAATAATAAAGAAGAAAGGAAAGCCATTTCAATAAATGGTGCTGAAACAACTAAAAAACATTTAGCTTGGACCCTTACTTCACACTGTACACAAATTAGTCTGATTTGCATTATCACCTAAACATAGAAGCTGAAATTATAAAGCTTTTAGAGAAAACAAATGTGAATATTTTTGAGACTTGGAAGTAGGTGAAGGTTTCTTTCTCATGACCCAGAAAGCAATAACCACACAATTCTTAAATGATACATTAGGCCCTCTTAAAATTAAGTTTTTGCACATGAGAAGACATTAGGAAAAATAAATAGGGCTGGGCATGGTGGCACATACTTGTAATCCCTGTGGCTGGGAAGGCTGAGGCAGGAGGATCACAAGTTCAAAGTCAGCCTCAGCAATTTAGTGAGGCTCTAAGCAACTTAGTGATACCCTGTCTCAAAATAAAACATAAAAAGGGCTGGGGATGTGGCTCTGTGGTTAAGCACCCTTGAGTTCAATCCCTGATACCCAGAAAAAAGAAAAGAAAGGAAAAAAAATAGCCAAATCACAGACTAAGAGAAAATATTTACAAAACATATGCCTAACAAAGAACTAGGATCTAGGATGTATGAAGAACTCTTAACAACTTAATAATAAAAAAAAAATGCCTAAAAGAACAGTTCTTTACAAATATATATACACATCACCAATTAGTAATGGGGAATAAGCTCCTTAATATCATTAGTCATCATGGAAATTCAAAAAATTAAAATCACAGGAGATCACCAGAACATATACACCATAATGACTAAAATTAAAAAGACCCGAAATATAAAATATTGGCCAAAATGTGAAACCACCAGAACTTTTATTCTGCTTAAACAGATATAAAACAGTATTACCACTTTGGAAAAAGGTTTATTTTTTATAAGATTAAACATCTTCAACTAAACTTACCTATCAACCCAACAATTCCATGCCTAGGAGAAATGAAAATACATGTCCACAAAAATATTTGTTCAAACATGTTCATAGCAGTTTCATTCACTAAAATGGGAAATAAGTCTAGTATATACAACAGGAGAAATGAATAAACCATGGTATTTGTACACAGGATACTACTCAGCAATAAAAGGGAACACGCTACTAATAAATAGACATGGATGAATCTGGAAGCTCTTTATGCTGAGGGATGGAAACACTACACAGAAGGACATGAAGTATGTGGTTCTGTTTATATGAAGTTCTAGAAGAGAAAAAAATGAGATTTTCTCAGGCAGGAGTAACGTTTTAGATCTTGGTAGGGCCTGAGGATGCACAGGTGTAGTAGCATCATTCCATGGTATGCTTAAGATTTGTGCATGGAATTGTATGCAAATTTCACTTCAAAATAAAGAAAAAGAAACTGTAAATAAATATGTAATTTTAGTTACTGATGTCCTTCACCAAGCCCAGGAACAGAAATCCATCCAGGCCTCACTTGACCTCAACCAGGAGCCAGAGGCTGCTGAGAAGCCAGGGCCACTCTTTCCATCTCTTGCTTTTGCTTCTACCACAACATTGCCATTTTTTTTTCTCAGCAGTCATCTCCCTTTCCAGTGCTCCCTCTAGCACCCACACCACAAGGAAAATGGCAGCTAATGGCCTTTAAGTTCGCCTGTTACAGTTCTAGCCACTCTTCAAGTCTCTGTCTTTCTCAGTCCCAAACCCAAATTCTCAAAGAGATTTCATTTACCCAACTTGGTCCAACCCAATGCAGCCAGAGAGCAGCGTCAGATGTATAAATTGGCCACCAAAAATGCACTTCTGTGAGCCACCAGGAAGGCAGGGTTCTTGCAAGCTTTGCACATGTCCCCAAAGGTCTCTGCTTTTTGACTGGCTCATCATAAGCAAGGGAGTCCATTTCTAACCATAAGAAAGGGTCCAATTAGGTCATCTGTAGGGCAGTATACCAGTCTGACATTACAGAAATCTAACCTATTTTATTTGGGGATATCTCTTTCTAACAGATGGGGCCTAGAGTGGGTATTAGTGATGGGAAATAGTTTTATATTACATCTCCAAAGGCCATGGGCCTCTAAAGAATGTCCTCATCCTAGATAGGACACCCCTGTTTTGGCTTACCTTAGAATCACTCAGGGGGCTTATTAGAAATGTAGCTTCCACTCCCCCACCCCAGAGAGTCTCACACACAAACACACACACAGGACTAGGATCAGACCCAAATAGCTACCTTCTTGACAGGCCAGTCTGAGGCTCCTGGGTCTGGGCCATGAAGGCCCTGAGCAATCACACATTAAAAATTGTCACCTGCCCCTCTCTGGGTTTACATCACACAGAGATTCCCAGACCCAAGCTGTCTTGGGGACTTAGGGGGCTGTACTAAGTGATGTCAGTGGAGTAAGAGGGGTAGACATTAGGGGGTGCAGGGGAGAAAATCCCACGTTTCCTGGAGTCTGCCAGCAGTGGGGACTCTGGGGTCTCAGAGTCCAGCTCCTCTGAGCAAAGGCTAAAATGTCCTGGGCTCTTGTGTCCTTATGATCCTTTATCCTGTTCTTTAACTTTTAGGATGGAAAGAGATGCGGCGTTTACACAAAAAAAGGCAGAGAGGGCGTGCCTGAGAGTCCACCTCAGGGAAAAGTACAGGCTCCCAAAGGTAAGACACTCAGCACAGGGACACCTCGACATCTCTTAATTAGGAATCACTGATTATCAACAAAGGTGTGAATATCAGCATGAATTCGTGAAAATATATATATATATCTCTTAATTTACAAGCTTGATATAGTAAAAGCAGCATTAAACTACGAGTTCATCAAAACAGGACTCCAGTTATTTAACCTCTATAAAATTTCATTTCCACTAAAGAAAAATGAAGTCAATACCTGTGGATGACATTTTTATGTGAATGTATCTGAAGAATACAGAAATTGTAAACAGAAATACACATGGGGATAGCAGCAATAGCTGACATTGTTGATCTCTTTCTAGGTGCCAGGCACTAAGTAATTCATTTAGGTCCCATTAGCATCTCCATCTTACTGTAACAGGCACAAAGCAAGGAAGTGTCGCCTGCCATATGTCAGCCAGCAGGGAAAGGCAGAGTCCAGGGCCCAGGGTCTTACTTCCATAATACTCTGCTTCTACTTTAGAGAGACAATCAATTGCTTATTGGTGGAGATGGCACAGTAGTGACAATTGTCACCTAGCACCATCTTCTCCATCTCAGTGCTGGCTGGAAGGATGACTGTCTGGAAGCTCTGGTGGAGTGTGCAGGTGGAATACTGGTGGGAAGAGGTTGCACTAACATGGATGGGATATGGCTCAGATAGATCTCCTCCTGGGAGATAGGTTGGTCCCTAAGACCCTAAGGAACCCAGCTTGTGCTCTTGGTGGGACCAGGGTAACTCACTTCCAATTTAAACTCATTTCTACATGCACCAATAATTTGGGAAGAAGGCTTGCTTTTCCCTCCCTTCCTCCATACAGCTTTGCTACTTTTCCCACTGTGCGTGCATTTTGGAAGAAGGAAGTACTGCTCAACAGTGCTCTTTCCATTCTCATTGCCCAGTGCATTTCCTGAAATCCCTGTGATATCACTGGCTGGCAATGTGACCTGCCCTAAGAAGAAGCCTGAGTCAGATTCATGCTGCTGAATCAAGGACCCTACCTCCCACTTGGCTCCTTCTGTTTAAAGCACACATCTTGTTTAGGATAAAGCAGGAATCAATGAAAATCTGTGTGTGTGTGTGTGTGTGTGTGTGTGTGTGTGTCTCTCTCTCTCTCTCTCTCTCTCTCTCTCTCACACACACACACACACACACACACACAAAACACACGCTCACTAGATCAGCCAGGCATGCATCTTTCACCAAAATCGAGCTTTTTGAGACTTTGTTTTTGACAACTGTGACAAATGTCCTGTGACCCTTCTGTGTAGATCTAAGGAAAATGAGTTTCAACTCTGGCTCTGCCACTGGGACATGGTGAAACTTAAGACAGCTTTTTTAAAAAGCCATCAAATGACATAATCATCCAGCAAATGCCATAATTTTATTCAGTTTTCTCATCTGTAGAGTGAGGGCAATAATACCTAACCTCATAGGTAAAGATTTCTTTGAGATAATATAAAGGGCTCTTATTAATTAATTAATTTATTTATTGTCAGGGATCGGACTCAGAGGTTCCTAGCCTCCTTTTTTTACTTTTTAAATTTTTAATTTTATTAATTTTTTTGGTACAAGGTATTGAACCCCGGGGTGCTTAACCACTGAACCACATCCTCAGCCCTTTTTTATATTTTACTTAGAGATAGGACCCTACTAAGTTCCTGATGCTGGCTTTGAACTCGAAATCCTCCTGCCTCAGGCTCCTGAGCTGCTAGGATTACAGGTGTGTGCACCACACCTGGCTCTTATTTTGAGACAGGGCCTTGCTATGTTGCTGAAGCTGTCTTTGAACTTGTGATCCTCCTCCACAGTCTTCCAAGTATCTGAAATTACAAGTGTATGCCACTGCATCCAACAAGGTCTCTTTTTTCTTAAGGTTTTTATTAGTGAATTATAGTTGTACATAGTGTTGGGGTCCACTTCAACATAATTATAGGTGCATGGAATATAATTTGCTCCATTTCACTCCCCAGCACTTTCTCTTTTACTCCCCTCCCCACTCTCCTGTTCCCCTTTTCTACTCTGTCTTTCTTCTCCATATTGTATTCTTTTTAAACTGGTGCTTTATAGATATACATGAGGGTGGGATTCACTGTGGTATATTCATATATGTGCATAGAATAATTTGGTCAATTTCATTATTTAGTTCCTCCCTTTTCCCATCTCTCCTCTCTTCCCCTCTACCCCCTTCATCTCCCTTCTATTTTCATGGGACATGCCCCCCCATCCACTTTTTCCCCCCTTTATTTTGCACTAGCTTTCACATGTGAGAGAAAACATTAACCTTTGAATTTCTGAGTCTGGTTCATTTCACTAAGCATGATGTTCTTCAGTACCATCATCCAGCAAATGCCATAATTCTATTCTTCTTTATGACCGAATAAAACTCCATTGGCATATATATTCACACACCACATTTTCTTTATCCATTCATCTGCTATGGGCACCTGGGCTGATTCCATAACTTGGTTATTGCGGATCGTGCTGCTATCAACACTGTTGTTCCTGTAGCCCTATATAGTATGCTGATTTTAGGTCTTTTGGATAAATACCAAGGAGATGACAGCTCTACTATTGCTGTTATGATCTCTGTGCACAAAAAGTTCTCTTTTCTTGATGGTAACAGTCAGGGGTCTTGAGGAGCTGAGGTAAGCACACTTTTGTGTATAATTGATGCAATAATTTGAGACCCCCAAACCTCAAGAATCCACGTCTTTGGGCACTATGACACACACCTGTGATCCCAGATGCTCAGGAGGCTGAGGCAAGAGGGTCACAAGTTCCAGGCCGTGGAATCTTTGCTTTTAGAACCCTGGCACTGAGACAGGAAGATTGAACCCAGTGGATAATGGTAGTAGTTGCACACTATATATGCAAGAGGACATATGTCTCTTCTGTACCCTGCTGGGTGATAGGACCTTAGGAAGCATCATTTCCACCCGATGGATTTCATTTATTTACCTTTCATTTAACTGACTGTGTCTTTTCTTGCCACAGTTATTTGCCAGAGAGGTAATTCATAAGGTGAAATCCTGTTCATAGTAGGAGTTGTTTCTCTCTCCTTTCCAGATTTAGTAAATCCCTGCTCTACTTGGTGTCTCAAGAGAAGAAGCTAATAATGGAGACTTTGTTTCAATATGAGACCATGGTTTGGCCCTAAATTGTCATTCCTTTTCATATATCTGACTCAGCCTGGTTTCCATGTGAGAAGTACAGCACACGTGTTGGGAACCATGAAGCCTTATTTCAACCATGAAAGAAAATCTGCCTCCTGCATTTGAAATGTATTAAAAGTAAAATTGCTATTAAAAATTCCATATCTTATCTATCTCATAGCAAATTGCACAATTCTTGCCAGCATAAATTTTATTACCATTATCAGTATGTTTTAGGGAAACGGCTCCCAAGGTGACCTGCTCTTAAATTTTGAGTTGTCCCCAACATATTGGGGCAGTTTTGCAGTCTATTTGGTGTAAAATAGCCTAAGATACTTGTCTTTGGCCGGGGACCACCAGGGGCCACCTGTACCCCCTGCTTCAGGGAAATATCACCGAGTCCTACCCCTAGCAGCCAGGGAAGCAGCCTTTTCCTTCTGCTCCTTGTCTGATGCCCTTCCCAGAGACCCACAATGTGGCTGCCTAAATTCCAATCAGAATTTTACTCACTAGCATCTACACCTCATTCTTCACTACCAAGTTTCCTTTCAGTTGGGGGCCCCCTTAGGCATCCTGATATTATGTTGCATTTTGTAAACTCCATTCTATACACAATGTTTCAAGAATTCACCTATGGTGTGAAACGTTCAGAAAATTCTAATATTACAGTGGCCTGCTTTTCATAAAGTACGTGGGAATTCTAATCCAACCTAGTTATCTGTAAAAACAATACTTCATAGAAACTAAACAATTAAAAAAAAAAAAACAGATCATATTCCTCTCAGTCATCACCGTATCTGGCTAGCTTCCTCCACGCACCACCCTGCGCATGCAGTTCCGCCCCATCCTTGAGATCCTTCTCTGCCTCTCCCGCTGTCGCCTGTCACGTGCTCCCTTCCCACACGCTCGCATCCCCACCCACTGAGGAGTCTCTGGGCACCGCGGGCCTTCAGTAGCCCATCTCGGGAGGAAGAGGCTGTGGGGTCAGCGTTTCTCTGGCCAGGGCCGCGGCTCCCTGTCTGCACAGAACAGCGCCGGGGTCAGCTGCATCCTGGCGTGAGCGTGGAGGACGCTACCCAGGTCGCCTGCGTGGGGACCAGTTCCTGGCGCCCGGCGCCCCCTGGTGGTCCCCGGCGCTGCGGACACCAAGTCAGCAGGAGGACGCGCTGGCCTCTCGGGCAGAACCCGGACTGCGGGGGTCACAACAGGACCAGGGAGGAGCAGAATCGAATCTCTGGAGGCGAGTTTTCTTCTTTTCAATTTCTATTTTTTCGTTATTAAGGACTATACCCTGACTTTTGAATCCTCCCATGGTATACCGGGAGAGAGCCCTAGAAAAAAACAGGGTGTAACTAACTGTCTCCCCAGAAACTAGGATGGTGAGGTTTTGAAATGAATTGTATTGGGATATTTAGCTTTGAGTGGAGAAAGCTGGGGAAGTGAAGACTCTGAGGACACAGTCACCTCCCAGGCCTGGAAGGCCATGCTGGGTATTGCACTGCAAAGGCCCCGACCTTTGGGATGTCCCCATAAAATGGTATTGAGAATCAGAATCGGAGTTCTGTAGATGGTCCATACAGGAGCCACAGGCCCTGGACTGCGAAGTGTCTGTCTGCTCACTGTGGCTGTGAGGGAGCAAGTTCAGGCTCCTCCAAACCTAAGGAATTAGAGGGAGGATGGGAAGAAGGTCTGCTGCAGCCCAGGGAGGGTGATGCGGGTCTGGACCAGGAAGAAACTATTAGGTTGAAAACAGGACAACAGAATTCTGAGCCATTACATGGATCCCCTCTGGGGTCATCTCAGGGACATGCCATCCATTACTTCTCCCTGGC